CTCAATTCATGCTTATAAAGCAACATCAAGCACCAGACTGACATCGCTGACCTGCTGGCCGGCAAGATCCTCAAGTACGGGTATCAGGTCGAGGAGCTCGTTGTCGTGTGCGTCAGAGAACCAGCTACTGATGGGGACGGCGTGTTGCGGGTGGAAGATGTACGACGTGGGCGAGTTGTCGATGATGATGGTATCTTTGAGGTCGCGACCGATCTGTGAAAGGTCCTGCAATAGATTAGCATTGAGCAAGCGGAGACAGCATTGGCAATCATACCTTGACATAGTTGCCCTGGTGGTTGTAGCAACTTTCGCGGAACAGCCGGTGGTGAACAACGCCGTGGATGTCAAGTTGGTCGAGAAGGGGGTCACCGTACTAGTATCGTCAGTATGAAGCATGTGTTTGTGAGTCCGTCGTGTGCTTACCTTTGAGACGGACGCGGTGAACACGACGACCTCGTAGAGCTCGCCAACTCTCTTCATAAACTGGTCGACGCCTGGTCGCTTGATGACATAGACGTTGTGGTATTGACCTTCAATCTCGACAGGGATGGTGAAGTCGGCTTGGTGCAGAATCTGGCTACGTTAGCAAATCGAAGCAAATACAGCGGCAGTGGAACATACCTTAAAGCTGCTGTGGACTAAAGTCTCATCCAGGTCGAGAACCAGGCACTTCTTTCCTTGGAACCTGGGTGCGATAGGTCCCAAAAGGTACTTCTGTTGCTCTGCCGCCTCTGCAACGTCTGCAGTCTGGTGCTGGACAGCGACCTGTCTCTCTGCCAGTGGGGGTGGTGGAGGAAGATCGACCTTGGGGTGCTCAGCCTCGGCCTCTGCGCTTGTCTCTTCTCCCTCTTGATGAACATCATTAGTCGATAGCGGCACATCTTTCATCTCAATGTCGTTGTCGATCTGCTTCTGCTCCTCGGTCTGATCCTGTATTATGCGCTCTTGCTCTGCTGACGGCCGAGGAAGTACCGGAGTAGCGGTGGGCGTAGGGTTTGTGATGCTTATCTGGGGGTGACCAGTCTGCAGGGTGCCGGCCTGAGGCGGGGAAACTGTGTCTGTTGGCTGCTTCTGGGATGGGCTTCTTGTCACGACCTGGGGTTGGTCTCCGACTGACGCCTGCTCGGTTGTGCCATCACCATGGCTGGGCTTGTCGGCGAGACCTGAACCTAATGTGTCGTTTCCCGTCTTCTCATCAAGTGGGTCTTTCGAGTCAGTGTTACTCGATTCGGCAACAGTGGGTTCCTGTTTCTTGATGGGTGTTGACTGGGAAGTGCGTCCAGCTGGCACCTTCTGGGCCTGCTTGACATTCTCCAAAGGTGTAGCATCGTCGGTTGTGCGGGACTCCTTGGGTGCAAAGCAGGGCAGACAAGACAACAGGCCACCAGACTTCTTGGTCTTGCTCCGTGTTGATGCTGGACGGTTGGCCGTGGCAGGCATTGGGGGCACTTGCTCGTTCTTCTCGGAGGGGGCAGCGCGCGGGTGAGAGCGCTTGCTGCTCGCCGTGCTGCCTGCGCGTCGTTTGCCCATGAAGCTTCGTTTGGAATGCTTGGAGCCTCGCCCAATGCTCTCAGCGTCTGCTGCGGTTGCGCCGCTGAGGCCGGTGTTGGGAGTCTCGTTGGACTGCGAACCGGATCGCGGGACGTTCAAGAGGGAACGCTTCTGGGTCGAGTCACCTTCAGCAGCTGCAGTCGAGGGGCCTTGCGACGAGGATTGGCCTGGAGCGAAGGAGTTGGTGGCAATGGCGCTTTGCATGGCAGCTGCAGCGTGTTAGTAATCAAGTATTCGAGGACGTCAATGTGGTGGTAAGCGACAAACATACCGGTGCCGTTGGCGTGCTCCGACGGCCCTACTGCCTTCTCGCTAGACATGCGGGTTGCATCAGCAGAGAGCTGCGTGGGCTCGGTGCTCATGGCTGCGCGTCGAGTATGTCAGACAGGCAGCGCGCAGGTGTCGAGGGCGTAGTGATAGGCTCGAGGCGGGACTGAGGGCGCCCTGGGTCGTCGCGTGGTGGAACTCGCTCGTGGGTGGGAGCGGTGGCTGGCAGACTGGCTGGCAATGGCGTGACCCGGTCGCGATTGCTCAGATTGATGCGCGAGATGGAAGGAGCGGTCGCCGGTTCTCGCAGCTGGGGCAGTCGCTATCGTCGAGGGAGTCCGAGGGAAGGAGCGAGGGCGACGGGGAGCGAAGCTTGGATGCGCTGCTTGGGATGAGGCTGGTTCGCTAACGCGGACGGAAATGAGACGCCGTCTTTCACCGTCATCAGCGCCAAAGCTCCACAACAACTGCCAGTTCACTGCAGCGGCACGGTTTTCTCACTCTGTCTTGACGCGACTGCGCCTGAGTTTGCGATGCGGCTCTGCTGCTGCTCGATGAATACAATGCGCTCACGGCGACAGTCGTCTGGAGAGCAGTATCGGGGCTGTGCAAGACGGCACTCTTGGGCGTGACAGGGGCCCTCTTTATGGGGGACCCCCAATAACCACACCTCGCCCCTAGCTCCAATCGCCCTAGCAGCAAGCATGGCCAGGCCCATATACAATACCTACACTCCACGCTGCACATCTCCAAGGGCAGGACTATTCATCATTCATCTATCCAATCACGCCCGCGACCCCATCGCGGACGCGGCGTGTCACACAGGGAAATGACAGCCAAGCATCTTGCCCCAGGGCACATTAGCCATAGTCCGCAGCCAACACCTCCATTCTCGATTGCCTCTAGGCCCGAGAGAAATACGCTTTCGGGCCCTGCATAATCTCGTCTTCGCGAACCTTCAAGAGCGACCCATTCCCAGACCAGGCGACCGTTCGTGCGGCCGCATTTGCAGTTGACTCACGGTTAGGCGCCATCTTGCCATGGTACGGGGAAGCGACGTCGCGCCAACCTATCACAACTCACATCAGCCGTAAGACCCGATGCGCTTCTGCCGCCAGATGCTGGTCCAATATTGGTGCACCGGCATTATCCTTCCAGCGACGCGCAGCACTTACCAGCCGACTCTCAACACACTCGTCATGTTCCTCGTCGTCGCAGACACTGCAGCGCTGGAGTCGTTGTTCTTGCTGTCACATGTCAGAGCCTGTCGTGTTCCACAGTGGCAAGCGCTGTGCAGGACGGCCCGTCGCCGTGCCGATCTTGCAGTTTCATGCGATGGGCATCCATGTCCGCAGAGGTCACGAGGTCACGAGGCCGACGTCAATGGTTTGCGTCTGCACGCTATCCGCCTCCCCCGCTGTGGTGGTGTGCAATATGCCTCGACGCAAGAGGCTCCCCGCAATGCGCGCCCACGCCGAACGACGCGGGTGAAGCGATCTACGCTCACAAGATCCGGAGAATACGAGCGGAGGATCAACCGACCGTTGAACACTAATCTGTCTCTCGTACTTGAGACACGCCCCAGTCGCACAGCCAAGTGGCCAGAGTACACGTTTTCGTCACTGTACGACAGTTCTCGAAGTGCGTCCTAAACAGCGGCGTTGTTCCTGATCTCTCAAATAGCGCACCAGGTCGACATACGCATGACCGGTCAGTATGCTCCCGCAAACACGTCAAACCTCCTCCCTATCGAGAAGGTCGACTGTGATTTCTTACAATTCTCCATTGTCATTCTCTCTGCTTCAGCTGCCTGAGGTACTGGTAGACGTCGTCTGTGTCATTTGCTGTATGTCCTGTACTCTGACTCGCCGTCGGGACTTGTGGTCATGTCGCTCGTCGCTATGGCAGAAGCCTCTGTCGCATCATCCCTCTGGCTGTGCAAGACCTCCAGTATAACTCGCTCGTTGTTCGGTGTGGGATAGAACCGGATAGAGATGCATGCGACTTCGGTGGTGTGCATAGACTTCAGCACAGCTTCCCAGGAGCCCTATGTCGGTATCGGCATCCGATGATATATGCGTCTGGTAATTGTTTCGCATGGTCGAACCCACGACTGTGAGCATGCTTTGGGCAGCTTCACATAGCGGACGCATCGACTCCATATAGCTTCCGCAGCAGACCAACTCAGTCTAGCAGTTTCCAGAAGAGGCTCTAGCGGCGGCAGCCAGCAACGCTATGCTTTCGCGCACCAATCACGACTATTTTGTTTTCTGTTTTAGCTATTTGGGAAGACGATTGTCTCCATCTCAACCCAAAAGAGCTTCGGAGTTTAGGGGATCGGAGCCAAAACACCTGTCCATTGGTGTTTCGGAAGGAAAAGTGGATATGGCGGCTGTTTCTGCATGGCGCACGTTGCTGATCTTATGTTGCTTGTTCGGCTCAGCATCTCTAGTCCCAACTGCATAATAGTCACAAGATCTGGCATAAGCAATAGAGCATCTTGGCAAAGACAATGGGCGAGAGATCAGAGACCTCCTTTGATTAACTTTTGATAGGAATAGCTACACATACATTCGGTTCAATGCTCTGTTGTCCAGATGGAAAAACTGGTCCAAAGTATTGAAGACATTATAGCCGATCAACACATTGTAACGTCTCTATTTGGAATACGTACGGCCTCGCTATCCGTATATAGCTTTGATCGGATCGGACATTGAGCCTCAAGCTTTCGGCGATCACGACGGCGAGGCGAAAAACGTGGAGTGTGGGTCGGAGCTCCGCATCTCACGTATGCGGCGCGGTAGTACAGTCTACGGGTCTTCTCGAGCGCAAAAGCAAGTACTACTGACGCCTCGAAGTCGGTACTCGCCCAACAGCCACACCGAAACAACCGTCTTGCTTATGTCGACCAAAGTCAACTACGACTTGTGTCGTGAACTCACCCTGACAGTGACACGTCCGTGAGAATGTACTCCTAACGATGACACCCGGCGGGGAGACTAGACGGCAGGCCAGTTTCGACGTATATGCAGGGAAAAAGCAGAGCATGAGTGATGCGAGGCAAGGTGTTTAAGATACATACGACAGCCATGCATTACTGAGACGGTTGATGCTGTGTGAGCTGAGCTGCCCAACTTCCACTCCTTTCCGTGATTGATTCACGTCGCCAGTTTCTTTCGACTATGGCGCTGGCTACTAATCTTCAACCGCTGGCTTATGCCGTGGCCTACGTTACCTTCTTTCTGGGCACCACCTCCACCTTTCTGAGGTTTTACAGTCGTTACGTCGATGAGAGTCTGAGGAAATGGAGACGGGATGACTACTTCGCTGTGGTGGTTTTTATCTTTAGTGTCGCTCAGCAGGGTGTCTTGCATATGTTCCTCTACTGGGGGTGCGGGCTGTAAGTACCGAGTAGTTACCTTGTGTGGAGAAAATAGGACTAACCGTTACGCGCAGACATATGGACGCTCTTAATACCTTTCAACAACTGGAAATTGTCAAGGTATGCACCAAAGCAAGAGAACTACTCGCAAGGGTATCTTTACTGACTAAACACCTCAGTGGCTCTTTGTCGAGGAGATAGTCTACTACTCCGTACATTGGGTTATGAAATCCGCCTTTCTCTTCTTTTACCTCCGGCTTGCGCGCGAGAGTGCCGAGTTTAGCTATGCTGTCTACGCTGGCCTTGGTCTTAACACCATCGTATGGGGGTGCAATATGTATGTCCTCATGTTTCCTCACTCACAATACCATAGACCTAACATCTGAAACTAGGCTTCTAGCTTGCATCCAATGCATGCCCTTTGATGAGATCCTACACCCTGGCACCCATCCCGACGCCTATTGCATGAACAAACTCATCGTCCTCCTGGTGCCATGTCTTTTGGTAAGCACAAATCATAGTCCATCACCCCGCAGACCACCCAACTAACCTTAACCCTCAACAGAACATCGGCCTAGACATGTACATCCTCCTTCTACCCATCGCCATGCTCTGGAACTGCCAAATCAGCTTCCGCAAAAAGATCGCCGTCCTCAGCGTCCTCACCTTCGGCAGCATCTCCGTCATCATCGCCACCTTCCGCCTCATTCCACTCCTCGAATTGGGATCTCAATCTGACGAACCGATCGACACATCCTGGGTTCTCGGCAAAATGATCATAATCGCCGCCCTCGAGACGCAATTCGCCATCGTCGCCGTCAATCTCCCTTCGCTCAAGAAACTCTGCACTAACTTCACCGGCGAAGAGAGTCTCGTCGAGGAACCGCAGAACTTGAGGTGGAAAGCGAAGAAATTGACTTCGCAATGCAGCGACGACTCTGACGATGACGAATTCTACGTCTCGGGTGGAAATGGACGAGGATACCATTGGCGCAAGAGCAAGGCTAGCTCGCATACAAGTTTCCGGACAAGCATCGCACCCAGTTTCGCTACAGATGAGGAATCGCTTCAGGCTAGTGTTGCTGTTGCGCTTCCGGTGCTGTGGGTCAAGTCGAATGTTCAGACGGTGAGGGTTGGTAGGGGGCATGTGAGCAGAGGGCATGTGGTTAGGAGTCTGGTTAGATGTAGTATGGAGAGGGTTGAGGATTGCTTCCCCAGGGGACACTTTTTGAGGACGTATGGCAGGCCGGAGTCGAGGCGGCCAGAGAGTAGATTGCCGACTTGTATGGAAATATGATGTTTGTTACGAATGGATGTGGAAAGGATACTTGCACCGCAGATGATGTGTATGAGGTTGTGTCATAGCGGTGTCATATTACACCCACCATATATGATTTTGAGGTTCAATGTAGCTCAATTTGCTAATTATCGGTACCCAAATAGAGGGCTTCTCATTGCTGTATGTTTCTATCACCTACTCTCACCCTCCCACCCTCCCACCCTCCCACTTCATCATTACATATATACCAGAATTCCTCATTCTTCCATCTTAACTACAATCAGAACTTGTGGCCCAGTGGTAAGGCGCTCGCATCACGTCCGGGCTTGCCCGTTCAGCAAGGTGCACCTTGTCTGAGGTGGATGTGAGACACATCGCGGGCTTTGCTCTCGATGTCGTCGAGGTTGTTTGGGGAGACGGTGGGATTGCGAGAAACCTCTGTTCGACTCAGAGCGAGTTCATCTTTTTTTTAGTTATGCTGGGGATGTAGTAAGAGCACGATGACTGGACTGCGGGGTTGTCAAGTGACGTTAAGCTAGATATATGAAGAGACTAGAGAAAGACGCGAGGGCGAGTCACTATGCTCATGGATACCCATGTACATCTCCGCATTATCCAATACGTTTTCTTTATCTCCGTACCCCAAGACTTTGTTTTGCTAATCACCTTCTCGCGCGACTTCTTGATACCTATCTCAACGACCTTCCTACTTCCTAATAGGCTGCTTCTTGGGTGAAACACACCGTGACCCCACTGGATCAAGGTGACTAACCGCACCCCTTCTACCATGACTGCAGGCGGAACTGGGAGCTTGCTGAGGACTCAGATCCGCTACATGCTGACCTGAGCTATCGCTAGAAGCTTCTCGAGAAAAGCCGAAATCGAAAGGATCCGGTAACTCCTGCGCATCATCGTCGTATCTATTGGGGCTTTCGGGAAGTAAAGGCTGCGGCCCCGACCGAGGAGGTTCGAGAGGCGAGACTGGAGACCATGGGTCGATCTGTTGTGGCGATGTTGGCGAATCAAAGTTGCTGGCTGATGGCAGTGGTGGAAGTGGCATGGGCTCGTTGACAGGTGAGGGCGTCGTCAAGTCTCTAGCGAGAACGAGCGCTTCAAAGAACCAAAGAGCACTGTAAGATGTCAGCGCAGCTCTATATGCGTGAAAAGTTGTACTTACCACTCGATTGTCTCCATGACAAGTTTCGCCACCCATAGTTTGAATAGATACTCTTTGTCGGCTTGTCGGTACCAACCCAGAAAGCACATGAGAAGAAGGTCGACTAACCAGAGTATGCCCATTAAGACGTGAGTCGCAAGATCGGCTTTTATGCTGTATGTGCTCGGATACACGAATCGGAATGTGATGAAGCCGATGCAGACTGTCATTGTGAGAGTAGCCTCGTGGCAGGGTTAGCTGTGTATGTGGAATTGAACATTGAGACATACCAAGCCCATCGAGAAGAATAGGACGTTTTCTGGAAGGGACGGGTACAGCCAGGCGCTGAGACAGAGAATAGCGATGGCAAACGGAATCCGCACTGCGTGCAGAACAACTGACTCTGTCCATCCCGACGGAGGTCCCAGCTGAAAATAAGCTAGCATATTGCTCATGCTGGTCGAAGCGAGGAAAACAGTTGGTGATGAAGTTTGAAGGGGACGCTTGTTAACGAGAATGCGACAATACTGTTGTGAAAGATCGGAATGATAACGGTGAGTATAGCATTTTTGTACCAAACACTGTCATGACTGCCAGACAAGACTCACATTTGTCTCAGACACTTCGAATACATGCCCCTAAGCCTGGCCGATCTAATTTCCTAAATTGCTATCAAAGACAGCTGTGTTGAGACACCAGAGACACGGAGCTTCCACAATCCGATCTACATGAACTCGAAACGTTGCATAACTCTTGATCATTGTAGTTGAAAGCCTGCTTGTGCATGTAACTCTTCTTGAGGCATCTCTCCAGACCAGATCCCATAGCCTAGAATGTTGGCCATCGGCCTAGGTTGCGCGCCTGCCGTACGTGATATTCTATCTCTAAATAGCGTTCCATACGATTAATCCGGCCCTGAAGGTCAACAGCAAGAGCGAGAAGATGTTGCAAGCCCAAGAAGACTGCGATAAGGCCAACGTATAGGATGAGGACAGACACGAAGAAGCAGAGAAATATGACTGCTGCCAGGAAAGCGATGAGCATTTCCGCATCGACCTTGACTAAATCGCGCAGCATTGGTAGTCGGTTTGTAGGAACTGAGGGCTCTCCGTTGGGTCCTGTCGTAAGTCTCGATCGGAGTTTAAGCGGAGGAATGAAGTGTAGCGAGAAATATGTATCAATAACCCCCAGAGTCATATATGTTCAGTCCTTTGTTTGCTGCAAAACAAGCACGCGCAAGTGCAGTCAACACCTCTCGCACGTGGAATGGCCTGGAATACCTTAGGGGAAATGGCTGACGCGGGTATGAGTAATTAACCCTCCCTTAGATCTTGATGCTCATTTTACTTCGTGTATTACTTCTACATTAGGCATTAATGGCACCTTAATGTGAGCTGAATGAAAAATGAAGAAGTTTAATGGCCATTGAGATCTGATGGAGGGTTAATTACCCATACCCGCGTCAGCCATTTTCCCTAAGGTAGCCTTCAACGGCGTAACAACTGTGATTGCGATCTCCTTTGAGACGCGTCGCGAATGCCGTAGCTGCCAAGCTGTGACGACTCGCTGCTCGGAAGAATTGGTGGGATTCGCAATCTAGAATCACTTGAATGTGATGGCATGGCAGTAGAACGAGGAGTAAAGAGTGTGCTATCGTTTCACTCAACTTCCCTAGATGTGCCCGCCTCGTTGCGCCACGCGCTAGTGGCGCGTCTAGCTCACGCACAGACTCCTCCACCTCCTTTCCCGGACTGGTGTATTCGGATCTGTTCTTCCCATCACCAAAAGGACGCGCCGCGCACTAGTGACGAGGCTTCGACAACAAATCTTATCCAAACAACCGTCTGGTCAACGTCAAAGTCAAAGTGCAAGTCGTGCCGCGGCGGACGCGCCGCCCCACGCTTCCCGCTCTTGGCTTGACCAATGATCTCGCAGAACGCCCTCCCTAAGGTGACAAGCTCAACCACAAGCAAGCATGTGGATATAAACGCGTCCCAATGGTTTCATCGTCCTGGGTATTCACAGAGAACTACGGAATGAGCGGTAGGTAGCGTGGCTGCTTAGTCCTCCGCATTAGGAAGTCCAGACTTGGATCTCGTGTGATGAAGCAAATGCTGGCGTCCGCGGTACACTACGAACTATGAGAATGAGTCGGTCGTGTCGTTCCTATATGTAGGTAGAGATTCGCTTGATCGAGATTGTCGCGAGACGATTCTGCGGTTCTCCTCCCAAGTCATTCTTTCCCAACAGTCACTCATTTTCAACATGCTTACTTTCTCTTCTTTCTTTGTTGCTGTGCTGCTAGGCGCCATCGGCAGCAATGCTGCGCCACTCATACAGGAGCGAGGTATGTTGATAGTGCGACATCTCTGTCGTTGCGTTGCGTAACTGACGGGTGACAGGTATCGCGCCAAACCTTCTGGGCAACTTCAAGTTGATGGAGCAGTATGCGTCGGCAGCATATTGCTCGAACAACTATGACTCCACCGGAGATCAGATTGAGTGCTCCACTGGCAACTGCCCGCTCGTTCAAGACGCAGACTCTACCACCGTCATCGAGTACAGCAGGTGAGTCTAACCCCAGCCCCCGCAGACGTCGAGGTTCAGCGGGTGTTGAATGGCCATGAACGATCCGGAGGCTAACAGCATACAGAGAGAATGCGATGACCGATGTGACGGGCTTTGTCGCAGTCGATCATACGAATAAACTCGTAGTTGTCTCCTTCCGCGGCACTCACACCATCGAAGACTGGCGTACGAACCTCGACTTCGGCACCACTACAACAGATATCTGCCCAGGCTGCACTGCCCACCGCGGCTTTTGGCAGTCCTGGCTTGATGCGCGCGATAGTGTCTTACCCGCCGTGCAACAAGCAATAACCGCCTTCCCTAGCTACAGGATCACCGTAACAGGCCACAGTCTGGGAGGCGCCGTCGCTACTCTCGCTGCCGCCAGTATGCGCACTGCTGGCTACAATGTCGCGTTGTACAATTTCGGATCACCAAGAATAGGAGGAAGTAAGATTAGCTCCTACATCAGCAACCAGCGTGGTGGCAACTTCCGCGTTACGCACTGGAATGACCCCGTTCCTAAAATGCCGTTGTTGACCATGGGATATGTTCACATCAGTCCTGAGTATTACATAAACAAGCCGAGTAGACAACCGGTATCGGCTGGCGACATCCAGACCTTCGCCGGTGCCGCCAATCTTTTCCAGGGAAACCAGGCCTGGTTGATCATGGATGTCGAAGCCCATCGGTGGTACTTCGACATGGTGTACACCTGCGGAGCGAAGAAGTCGAAGCGTGGAGCTTTGGAGATGAGGGGCGTCGAGGGAAATATGGAGGTGGTGACTACGTTCTGATACCCCGGATGATTGCAGGTGTCTTCTTTAACGTCCGGTATAATGTATATTATGTCTAATGCTCGATTCCTGTCCAACCTCCCCTTCCTACAAAACCTTCAACTCCTTCGTCGCTTTCGACATCTCGTGCTAACCTTCCGGTAACAACGCTTCGCTCATGGTCTCGACCGCGTACGAGAAACGAGTTGAAGCCTTCAGTCCATTTCCCCCTTCCACTGCCGGAGGTATCCGGACTAAACCCGCTACTCTGCCGATCGAGTTGGAGAAACCACCGCCGTTGATGTACCGACCCAATATCGTTCGTCGAGCCCGGATATGCATTGGTGGTACGCGTTTGATCATCCTCTTCTGTGTCGGTGTCGACATCTTGATCCGCTACTTCCTCGTGTACGGATGCGTCCGCGACAACAGCTTCGTCACTTGAGGTCGCGGGGGTTCGTGTTGCAGAGCTACGCTGAGATCGTCCCCTTCTTCGTCTCGCTGTAGGCTTTTTGATTATTTCATTCGATGGGAGGCGTACTATGACCGTGTAATTGTGTGGCAATCGTGTACCGTGTAGACGTAGGCGTATGTACCGAGTCTTGAAAGCTGCTACCAGCTTTGAGCTCTCCTGGCACTCTCCCCCTGCAACTTCGCTTCCCTCATTTGCCGCTTCGTCGTCTTCTGTTTCGTCGTCATCCGTAGTCTGTGGACTTGGCATCTCGTTCTTTCTCTTAATCCTGGGTAAGATACTATAAGTTCCGGTATCCCATATAATGAGGCTTCCAGTCTTTCTGCTGGCACTCTCGATCAAGTGGTTCCAGTAGTTGTGTACTCTAGTCTCAATCGCCATTCTGCCTATGCTCCGCGAGTTGGGGTCGCCAGGAAGTCCTTTTGGAATGGCGAAGGACATCGAGCTCGTTTCTGAGAAGTGAAGACGGAGGTCATAATGTACACCCGCAATCGGGTGGTTGTGTTGATGAACGACAAAGTGGTGACCATAAGGGTTGGCGTTGGACTGGTAGAGGGTGGCAAAATCATCGATTGAGAGTCTTGGTACGTCAAGTGCTGTGTTTCTAGAGCTTTTCACCAGGTGATTTCTGAAGTAAGTAAAGTGATCGTCAATCTTGACCTTGCCGGCTTCTACTGCTGCTAGCGCGGGTAAAGCCTTTGCGACAGTTGGCGTTGCATCTGAATGCACATTTGGTTTTGAATTTGGGCTCCTGATATCTGCCTCAGACGTTCTTCGTCGCTTTGAAGGCCGTGGTGGCGATATGTCGCGTGCGAGACTTGCTGGTAAGCCCATTGCGAGTCTCGCGCAGTTGACAGCTCGCTGTCACCTATGATCGGGCTTAGGAAAAGCACGAATCCCACACGTTCATTCTTCGCCGGGTTGTGCTCCTCATCATTGTAGGCGAGGAGGTTGGCGTTCGTTTTGTGAGTGAGAAACGCGTTATAGTCGCAAAACGACGCGACGAAGCGATGACGTCAGTTACCCGCGACATTCAACGTTAAACACCACGAGCATTCCGAAGTGATGTTAATAATCGTACGCGCAATCGAGGAGGCAGACGTCGGGATGCCAAAAGCGAAAGATCCGGATCGTGACGAGAAGCATACACGCGTGTGCGAGGTGTGGGGTCCCCGCAACAGCCGAGGTCTGTCATTGGCTGTCGGCAAACTTCCTTCTTCCTGCTCGGCAGACCTGCCCAAACAACGACCATACCTCAACGTCAACGCGCGAACACAGGCACGAAGAGGTTAGACGGCACCCATACTCCGGACACGATGAGGTTGAACGGGAGACGCAGGCTCCACCGATGGGGATCTGGTCGTTCTGGGGTGTGGATCAGTGGATCAGCGGAGGAGATGGCGTAAAGTCAAAGGTATAAGTATCCCTATTGCTCTAACCGATGCTGGTCGCGATTCTGGACTCCCCTCATCATACCCTGTTGTATCTTCGATTTGTTTAAAGCTACTTCATAATGTCTTTCGATACGGAGGTTCTCATCATAGGTGCGGGCATGAGCGGCCTGGGCCTCGCTGTCCAAATCACACGCAAGTACGGTCTTCGTAACTTTGAGCTCATTGAGAAGAGCGACGATGTCGGTGGCACTTGGTTGGCAAACACATATCCAGGCTGTGGATGCGATGTAAGTTGTTCCGAGTCCAAACAGCTATCGGTGCCGAAAACTATGCTAAGCTGACTAGGTTGCCTCACACTTCTACTCCTACAGCTTCGCGCTGAACCCAGATTGGTCGAGAAAATACTCCATGCGTCCTGAGATTCAGGCCTACTTCCGCTCTGTGGCCGAGCAGTACAAGATCGTGGATCACGTCCGCTTCCATTCCATAGTGGAGAAAGCAGCTTGGAACGATCTCGACAACGTCTGGGAGGTATCTATCTTGAACCTTCACACCAAAGAACGGACGACTCGTCGAGCGAAGATACTTGTCTCGGGTGTGGGCTCACTCTCAGTGCCTAAGCAGTGCGATCTGCCCGGAGTGGAGACGTACCAGGGCAAACTGTTTCATTCTGCGCAGTGGGACCACAGTTTCGATTGGAAGGACAAAGATGTCGTCGTACTTGGTATGTCTATGTATATTGGCTCGTCAGTTATATGCTTACAAAGCCCCAGGCAATGGCTGCTCAGCAACTCAATTCGTTCCTATCATGGCCAACGAGCCCAGCCCCGTGCGTAAACTCACACAGTTCGGACGACAAGCGCAATACCTTGCAGAGCGCCAGAACCCGTACTATTCGAATACCTTCAAAGCCGTGATGCGCTACGTACCACTAGCAATGCGCCTCTACCGTGCGAAATTCTACTACGACATGGAGCGCGACTGGAGTGGTTTTGACATTGAGACCGGGCGCAGCATCCGCCAAAATCTGGCCAAGGAGAATGAAGCATACGTAAAGAGTATGGCGCCGCCGAAGTATTGGAGCGCGCTCATTCCAAAGACCGAAATCGGGTGCAAGCGGAAGGTGTTGGACACAGACTATCTGAAGACCCTATGGAGAGATAACATCGAGCTGGTTGCCGACGATCCAGTAGAAATAATCACCGGTGATGGCGTGGTAACAAAGAGCGGTCGCGAGGTGAAGGCAGATGCCATCGTGCTTGCCACCGGCTTCGCAACACAGCAGATGCTTTGCCCGATGGAGATTGCTGGGCGTGACGGACTGCGCTTGAACGAATACGTGAGTTTGCCTCAAATCGCCGCATGAGACCTATATACTGATGCATACCGCAGTGGGATGAAACCTCACAGGGCGTCGCGCAAGCTTACTTCGGTACGGTGGTCCCACAGTTCCCGAACTTCTTCATCCTCATGGGGCCCAATACCGTCACCGGCCATCTCAGCGTCATCTACACTGTAGAGTGCCAGATCAACTTCACTCTCCGGCTGCTAGAGCCCATCTTCAAGTCACTGCCATCATATCGATCGCAATCATTCATTCCTCAGATGCTGTCACCACCACCGGCGACCGTAGAGGTCAAGCCGGAGGCTGCGGTCGCAGACTCGCAATGGACACAAAAAGCAGCAAGCAAGCTGGTCTGGAACTCAGGTTGTGTAAATTGGGCTGTAGATCCGAAGACAGGTCTTAATAATAGTAAGTGGGGAGGGTGGACGCTGGTGTGAGTCCGTGCGCTAACGCTGTCAGTGATGTACCCTGACTGGCAATTCCTCTATTGGCTCAGGAGCATCTTTTGGAAGAAGGGTGACTTCGTTTATCGGAACGAAAAGACGGGCGAAGAATTTCGACCGGGTACTACCAAAACTATCCTCTGGCTGGCTACTGCAGGAGCACTTGCTGGGGGTGCCTTTTTCGGACGGGATTGGATCCAAGATGAACTGCCTCGCCGGCTAAGGAACTTCGACGCGAGGACATTGGTGCGGAGCCTGAAAGCCTGAAAACTGACCAGATGAGGGGGTGAGTCAGCGCATGCCTGGATGGGACGCCAGTATCATCATCTAGGTCACCCACACCTCCAGGCAACAACATCGTCCGACCAAGGCAAGTAGGATGTTCATGAGACGGAATAGATGATATTTTTTCTACCAATGGTACTAAGTGGTGCGATTCGTCTCTTGCTACGGAGCGTTTCGCCGCCATCAATGACGTCGCGCGCACGAAATGGTCGTCTCTCCAGCAACAAGCAACACTGCACCCTTGTTCCCACGGTCGCAGCCTTCAGAGCCGTCCCCGTGTCGCCTTAATAAGCTCAAGTCTATTGTTCAGCTGTCCTGCACGAACAATACCAGCAGAGTGAGGGAGGCGGGATATCTCACTTCCGGGTGTCCCTTCACCTTCACTTCACCAAATCGTCTCCCAGCCCCCTCAATTCCAGCTTTTCAAGCCCACAACCTTTTCGCTAATATTAATCGCATACTGAGAGTACTTTGGACTGCAAACTCTTCAGCTCTTTACACGATTATCCATTTCCAACTCGTCCCCAACAAGCTCGCCTTGATCATCTCATACCTTCTTACTTTACATTTCACAACCCAAGATACCCCCTGAGATGTCTTCAAAGACTCTCCTCCCAGATTTCGCAGTGGCGGTCAGCCAAATGGCTGTTCAAGCTGCAACCACAGCCTACCCGACCGACTACATCGTCGAGCACATCCTCAAGCTCAGTAACTACCTCATCAACCTTGCGGGAACCTGCAACCTCTTTGGCAAGCCCGAACTCGACATCTACAGCCCCAGTCTCAGCACTCTGTTCGACCGTCTGCAGAAGAAGCAGGTCGGCCCAAGCCTGTTGCCTCACGGCTTTCTCACTGCCGAGCGCATTCACGGACGCATCTACGAGCGTGCGGACGAAGAGGCCACCGACCGCCCTCTCGCCGACTACGAGGACATATACTATGCGCTCGTCGCTCGCATGCAGGAGATGCATCAGTTGTTGAACCTCCGCATCGACAGTGGCTTCAACGTTGCGTCTGAGGACATCTCTGAAGGCGGCCCCAGCATCGCCGAGCTTCACAACAGTCTGTCTGAGTACTGGAACGTCCTAAACAACCCATCATGCGGCAGAGCGCTCGACGATGCGATCCGCGAAGCAAGGCTCGAGTCGCTCCGGCACGAATTGGTTCACCAAGTCAGGGAAAAGAACATGAAAGCAGAGGAGGCGCATGAGCAGTTGTCGCAGCTCTACAGCTCTGATGTCTACAACGGAATCCTCGGGCTCAACTTTGTCCAGGACTGGGCGCCGCCCATGATCGGTGCTTACTTGGAGTCGAAGTACCGCCGCATGCTCGACTTGGAGAAAGAAGAAGCTGTCGTCAAGGCCAGGCTGTCGCGCCGCCAAGCCAAGATGAAGACGCTGCGCGAGGCCCTCGCCGCCAAGTCCGCTGAAGAGAAGCTCATTGCCCGACGTCATGCCCGCAACAACGCACGCAGGGCTGCTCCCATATGCGACGTCGACTACGAAGTCAGTCGCCCCACCAAAGCCACGCCCGTCGGAGCCGAAGACGCCACCAAGTCCACCGGCGCCGAGCCCAACACCAACAACATGTACCACTCCACAGGCAAAGCATCGATGCAGCACTCTCCCGAGCACCAAGCCCAGATTCATCCCGGTCACCACTACGAAGAGCACACGGCCGCCTACTACAACCAGCCCATTGAGGATATCATTGCTCACCAGGAGATGCTCAAGGCAGCTGCTCAGTGGCAGATCAAGGAACAGCGCGTGTCAGAGTACAGCGAGTACCTCCGCGCTCGCGCTAGCCAGGATGCTCAGCACAGGGTTGAGGCTAGTCAGAGCTCGGTGTCGTCGGGCAGTTCTTTTGGTCCTCCTCCTCCTGGTTATGTTCGCGGCCCTTTTCATCACCCGGATA